GAGGGGTCTTGCAGGTGCAGACAAAATTTCAGCACAGTGCAAAACCAATGACCTTTATGATACCTACTCTATGCTTAAGGTCTTGGTTTAAACTCTAGGCATTGCAATGGAAAAAAAGTGTATCACAAAAACACCCACAAATTTAATCTAAACCTGTTTTTGGAGATTATATGTATGTCCCTTACCACATTTCATGTCAGCATGGTGTACAGAATTTCATACATAAATGCATGAAGCAAGGTTTCTCTATGTGCATGTAAAAAGTAAAAGAAAAAAATGTAAACTTGAAATGCAAAGCAAAGCCCAAAATTAGGTCTAAAAAACAAAGCATAAATTAAAGCATAAGTTAAGCATAATCAAAAAGTGGCAGCAGTCAAAGTAAAGCATTGGCTATCATCATTTTTTTTTTTTTCTTTGGGGGCCCTCATTCCGATTTATGGAATAGTCAATAAAGCTAGAAAACTATGGTGCTTACGCAATACAAACAATAGAAACTAAATGAATAGGCATAAACTAAGGATTAGACTGAAGTGAAGTCATACCAAATAACTGAGACATTGACTGGCAATTATCACTTTGAAAAAGGAGGTAATGATAGATGATGAGTTTTTCTTCTTCTCATGAAACAGTAAGCATTTCTGGGTACATTCTACACAAGCTTCAAACTTGGCAGCCATCTGTTCTCCTGATCAGGTTTTTGCTCTCTCTTGATCAACATTATAGAAGAAATTTATTAGAAAACTAGAAAATAGAAACCCATTCATAAAAGCAAAACGAAAAGAAACCATAGCACTTTGGTCATCTAATCCACCCTCATTAATATAGCAAGTCTCTTCAAATGTAAGAGTAGAAACCCATTAAAATGTGGCTAGGTTTAGATTGAGCTTCTAAAGGACACCTATGTATTACCATAGGCTGAAGGTCTCAGAATTCAGTTACCATTCAGGAACCTCTTCAAAGATGGTATAAGATCTCCTACGGAATCTAACACAATTCCTAAAATTAAGAATACCATGAATAACCGCATTGTTTGAAAAAGGGGGAAGTTTGTCACAAGTTCCCAGGAATAAAAACATGATTCAAAATAATCCAAAATTTCAAGATAATCAGTACACCTAAATATTTCACTTTGTCTGACTAGCAAATAACACAACTAAATTAAAACCAGTAAACCATCAAGCATCAGGTATAGAGAGTCTCAGATCTTCATTTCCAGTAAGCAGTTTTCCAGATTTTCTATGTAATGCATTCTGCCAAAGGATCTATGTAAGGAAATGGAAAAGAAAGAATTACATTTCACTGGGGAAAAGCACTAGATATGAGGAATTATTTTCTAGAGAAATAGACAGTAGCAACAAAAAATCGACTCTTAAAACAAGTAAAAATTTTGACTTGACCCTTTTTTTCTCGAGTTGGACAACCCAGTACTACAAACAAAGTTGCGTCCTACCATGAGTTACTATCAACAAAAGGGGCCCTTCCAGGGAATGGGGTTGGCCCTACTTAAAAGCAAGAACCATGCTTGGCTATCATTTCGACTAAGGTTTTCCAAACCCCAAAATAAGGCTCTAATAGTACCATAGTGAAGAACCCAACTTAAAATCTGAGCTTCTAGTAGAGAAAATCCAACACAAATATAAAATTCCAAACAAATACGAAGCACAAACTTAAACAAAAATTTGCTTCACATTGGCTTCTGGTATCATGCAAAAGCATCTAACCCAAAACCCATTAGGATAGAAGTACCTAACTTGAATACAAGACAACTAGATATACAGACCAAAAAAAAGAGCAACTGGTAACATGAAAAACCAAATAATTCAAAGGATGACTCCAGATTTTAGAACAAAAACTCTGAATGATCCCTAGGTAAAAAAGTAACAAAATGGGAAAAGAAAGAAGATCATACAACCTCACCTGCATTGATTTAAAATTGAACTTCAGAGATCAATCACAATGTTACTAACTTTACTTTCTCGTCTTCGAACTTCAGAAATTTGGGAACCCACGCTCTTACCATTAGTGTTTGAATTGAGGTAAAAAAATGAACAAAAAATATACTCCCAAGTCCCAACCTCTCGACAACTATTATGACCATGCACGCACCGACGCTCATGGATCAGCGATCCCTCATGTAGGTTCAATACTTAAAATTGGCCTGGGACAATTGGCCTGTGACAGCCCAACACTAAAATTAAAAAAAAAAAAAAAT